AAAGTAACTGTCCTCGATGACATTGTAGGTTTTCTCCCTACCCTATTGGACCCGTATGATCCAAGCGAAGCATTTTGAGCCCGTGATTGAAACCTTGAGGCGGGGCTCCGTTGTCAAGGGCGCTCTGGCCCGCCTGAACCTCTTCCTGGACGACGCTGGGATGCTGCGCGTTGGCGGACGTTTGAAAAATTCTCAACTGCCGTATAGGGTTCGGCACCCGTTACTGCTCCCTAAGGAAGGCGCCTTTATTCGGTTGCTGGTAGTTACATAAGCACACTGACTAAACCACTGAACATGCTGCTGCCAAGGATCATCATCATCTTCCCAATCTTTTAAACCACCACCACAATGGAAACACCATCATGTTCAGAATAGCCACGCTGGATGTAACGCTCTTTCGACTATTTTGCAGCGGGAGATTTGGATTTTGGCTGGCCGACGCACCATTCGGAGCGTCCTCTTTAAGTGCATACCTTGTTATAAACTGAAGGCCACCATATCGCAGCCGATGATGGGTGACTTACCACCCGACCGCGTCAGGGCCATCCGACCATTCGCTGGAGTCGGAACCGACTTTGCTGGCCCCTTTATCGTCAAGTCCTTCAACCTTCGTAACGCGCGTTCACATAAGGCCTATCTGTGCGTTTTCGTGTGCCTCGCCACTAAGGCCGTTCACTTAGAACTTGTAAGTGCCCTCAGCACTGAAGCCTTTGTGGCCGCTTCGTATCGCGTCGCGGTTTGCCGGACCTGATCCGGTCTAATTGCGGAACGAATTATAAGGGCACGGATTGATATTTGAAAGAGTTCGTCGAATTTCTGCCCAGCAACAGGACTTATTTAGGTACTGCGATGTCCAAGACGGACATCCAGTGGAAATTCGACCCTCCGGCTTGCCCACACTGGGGCAGTATTTTTCAGGCGGTTGTTAAGGTTGCAAAAACGCATCTCCGTCGCGTTATTGGCGAAACTATTTTAACATTTGAGGAGCTTGCCACTGTATTCTGTAAAATTGAGGCGGTACTCAACTCTCGGCCCCTCTGTCCCCTCTCGTCCGATCCGAATGATTTGGAGGTTCTAGCCCCGGGCCACTTCTTGATTGGCCAACCGCTTAACGCCCTGCCCGAGTACCCCTTCAGGGAAATAAGCTCTTCGCGGTTGAACAGATTTGACCTGCTGCAGCAAATGACTCAAGAGTTTTTTGGCACCGATGGTCTCTGGAGTACCTACATCTTTTGCAGCAGCGCGTTAAGTGGTCTGACAAGACGGATCCTCCTCGGGTTGGAGACCTCGTGTTAGTTAAAGAACCTAACGCTTTGCCTTTGTATTGGCGCCGTGGGCGCATTGTTAAGTTGTCGTATGGACCGGATGGGGTGCCTAGGGTGGCCGAGGTTTTGGTTGGATTCGGTCTTGCAACATGCCGTCGCGACCCTATCCCGTTTGCCCATTTACTCGCGGCCGTAAGTCCTTATGCCCTGGACGGGGGTTTGTTTAGGCCAAATCGCAGCAACATAAAACTTGCAAAGGCGCTCGTCTCGGGCGGTGCGCCGGGGGCATTCGTTTTTTGAGGCCTGCGGCCGCGCCTGTTAGTCTAGAATATTCGATTGTACGCGACGGCCATGTCGATTAGAGGTCGGGAGTTACGTAAGAATCGTTACGTCGCATTACGACGGCCTCCTTTGCGTTGTCTTATTTTGTACGTATACGTGACAATGAGGCTTTCCTTGAGTGATTAATGTAACTTCGATTGCCATTAATTTGCGTCGACGAGTGGCTTGTGTAGTATCTTAATATCGTACGAAGGAATTTTTGGTTTGTCGGGTGGAACGCTAAACTTCCCGGGAGGAGATCGCGTTCCTTCTTCGATTATAGTTTTGTGCTAAGTTACGTTAGACTTGAGTTCAGACAACGTTGAACGCCCACTGGAGTAATTGCACCTTGTGGAGCAGGGCAGCGCATGTGGTTCTGCTAGCCAAGTACATCGGTGACGTCAGGTTACATAACACACCTTCCTACACCACTCACACCTACCATTTACTTGCCCCTGACGATACCATGTGGTCGACCCTACCTCCGGAACTTGGTAAGTTTGTGTTTGCTTATCCAGCCCTTATAAACTAATTATCCATAGGCCATTTGGGCCCGAACCCTCGGTTGCTCGTCGAGTTGGGTTACGATAGGCCCTAGCCCAGTCGACTTTTGTCGGGGTAACTGAGGGCCGTAACAATTTCAATAGATCAACCACATTTCAAATAGCAACTAGTCAATTAGTGATAAGAACTTAAAAATATGAATAACTACGAAACATACTTCGGTCAAGATATCTTACCATTAAATTAAACTGTAGTACAGCAAAATAGCCTCGTCATTAGGGTTTTTTGTAAATTACTAGTGAGAATACTAATCAATATGTTTTTGTTGAATTCTGAATATATTAAATTTATTGGGGAAAGCAATATTCAGAACACTTTTACTTATACAAAAAAAATACTTATAATATTTTTTTCAAGAAACAGCACATTAAAATTAAATCAAATAAAAATCATCTTAATATTTTCTAAAATAGAAGTTACAACTAGCCCCAATACCAATTCCAAATAATCCCATTTGCAAAAAACACATTCAAAACGAAGCATTATTAAAACTAGGTCACTCTCTATGCTCCCAAGAATGTGTTAATACACATTCTTGGGAGCGTAGAGAGTAACTATAAAGTGTAAAGAGTAGCTATAAAGTTACATTTTTTTTTATATAATAAGGGTGACAAACAAGCGCATAGTTCATCTGATGGTAAGTGGATGCTGTGGGCAATAGATATCTACATTTATCATTGATTAAGAATCAAAACGCAGATGCGTTGTCACCCCTGAGGACTAAGATGGAATACCTCGTTTCCAGGGGTTTAAAAAGGGTCTCTGGATCTCTACACTCGCCATACGAAACGCAGCAGCATTACACTGCTATTTTACGTTGGTATTCTGTAAGAGCATGGTCCTTCCCCGCTCGAGCCGACACATTCATGCTACAACCATAATATAACTGCAGCGTGGCTCCACCACATACATAAATTAATTCATTAATTACTTCATGATGTGGTAACACCAAACACAAGTAAGACAGCTCCAAAAATCCCGATTTTATCTTTTTTCAAATATCACATTCCAGGCATTTCCTCAGATACAACCTCAAAATGACACCTGATGAACTTCACATTATTAGAAAAGTTGTTGCCAGATATTGAAAATAAGTTACCACTATCCATATTAAAAAATATATCTACCTAAATCTTATAGTTACTTTGTCCCAAATAGCCCCAAAAAAACTTAAAAAGCTTAAAAAGATTTCAGATATTTCACAAGGAATGGAATTTTCAGCCATCCGCTTATAGATTGCACTTGTGATAAGTTGGTCCCAGGCTCCATCTTTGTATGAATTCTCATTATTTTAGATTGCCAATTATAAAAATTACACACAAATATTTATTAATTAATGAACAAACTCAAATGCATTTTGTTTTTGATGGCATCTGAATGCATGAAGCTAAAGACTGGGTTATGTGACACATCTTGGGGAAATCCAGCAGTGAACTGCCGCATGCTGATGAAGATGATAATTGATGAAAGAATGATTAAATGACTTGATGATGACAAAATGCTTATACTTACGGTTTTAAGAGTAAAAGTTTTATGATGAAGGAAGCAAGAGGTACAGGTGTGCAATATTGCACTAAGTTACATGCATACCTTGAAAAATTTCCCATACTGTGCCTGTATTTCTGGGCAAAAAAAATATTTGAAGGGCATGTTCAGTCAGCCCAGAAAGCACTGGAGCAATGTTGTGGACTCCATGGAATAACAGTGACAAACAAGCATATAATCCACTTGATGGTAAGTGAATGCTTTGGTTTATAGATATCTACATCAATCCTCGATTAAAATGCTGTGGGTGGGTGTGGTCAGATCCGACCACTTGGGATTTGACAGAATATTGCCGTGGTCGGATCCAACCATTTGGGGATTGAGAGGTTAAGAATCAAAATGCTGGAATGCCTCATTTTCAGTAAAAAGGTTTTTCGATTCTCTAGACTCGCCATTCTAAACACTGTAGCATTAAGCTGCTATTTTATACTGGTATTCTCTGAGAATCTGGTCCTTCCCCAGCCGAGCCAACTCATTCATGCTACAACCACAATATCACTGAAGCATGGTTTTACTGTGTAATAATTATATAAATGATAATGATATAAACAATAATATTAATTTACAAAAATAAATATTTGTTGCCTTTATAAACTGTGGAAACAGACAATACTTTACTGCTCATAACTTCCGCCTGAAAAAAGATCAGAGTTACCTCTTACACTCTTGTCACCTTACAAAGTTTAACTTCGTAAAGACTTCCTTAACATGGCCTTAAAATATTAAAATTCATGGCTTTCATTAATAGTTGTGTGTGAAATAAGTTTTATTCAGTTTACACCCATGATCAAATTTGTACTTATAATTCAAAGTTGCTCTCATACTTTGAGAGATATTATGAAAACAGCCATTTTTTTTTTGGTTTTTAAAGTACACTGGACTACCGTTAGATACATTGTAATGCATGTAACATATTTTTAAATTGGTGAAATGCAGCGGACATTTCCTCACCCTAAAACCCTCCCAGAAATGAGAAGAGGCCCATGCCCAGTAGTGGAACATATATAACCTAAAACTTTAAGCAGCAAATAATAGTATTAATTTTATTTTTTAGCATTAGTGGGCAGTAAACAATTACTAATGATGTTAAAATGAATTAGCTAACATTCACAAAAAAGCTAATTAACTATCTATCCTAAATATAATGGATTTTGGCAAAATAACACCTGATTCTATTAATTATCTATAAAAGTAATATTAAAAAACTCAGTCTGAATTTCTTTCCACAAAAAGTTGTACATTTAGTGTCCAGTAGAATTAATGTCTTTTTTCTCTAATGAATATTACCACAGATATTATACTTACATCTTTAGCACCAGAAAACTTCCAAACACCATAACATAAACATGATGTACCAGCTAATGCATATATTGTGCCCCATCCTAATGCACGTAAAGCTAAAACTGCACCAGCGTCCGCTAACTCTACACTACTGTGTAGACCTAAAAATATTGTTATATAATTTTGAGTACATTGAAAAGTATGGCAAAAACTTATATTTTGATATGCAATAAAACCTAAAGGGTATTACTTAATGTATTACCTTTGTTAAAATACTTGGGGTCTGTTCTTTTAGCAGCGGCTACGGTAGTACTAAAGCCCGCAAATGCAGAAATCCCTGCAACAGATGCTAAGAAAACACCAGCTGCAAACATTAAAATAAATTTATTAGGTAATTAAACACATGATACAATAACACAGAAGCTAAAAATTTAAAATTTGAGCGCATCTTCGATGGTAAAACACTTAACTTTAATACGCTGAATCCTGTCTTCATCAACCATTTTAGCATTATAATAAATACTACTTAAACCCAAATTTATTTTAGGCCATTTAATTTAAATTTAAATGCAAAAATACTCCACAAAAACAATTAAACTGGAGATGAATAGTCAGTAAGTAAACTATGATATTCATGCTAATAGTATCTTCCAGATTACTGTATATCTTCTAAGAAATTTCACTGCTGGTTAAGCTACCGCCATCTAGTCATTGCTTTATGCAACACGTAATACTTTTTAATTTGTAGCTGCTCTGGAATCTAGCATTTTTAGGTACTTTATGTAAATCAATCAAGATAGTGTGGCCGCCACTAAAACTTATTAATAGTAATTCTAATGATAGGTATAAAGGAAATACTAAAAAAGAAATCATATTCTATTAAGCAAGTTATTGTTATATGTTATTGTATTTATAAACTACATTAAAAAATATCATCATCTTCATCATTACAGCCCTTCACAAATCTCCTGCTGAACATAGATCTCCACAGGGTATGCCACAAAGCACGGTCCTGAGCCGCCTGCATACATCGACTTCCTGCATGTCTTACCAAGTCGCCCTACATTTTGCCTCGAGAACGTTTTTCCCCCATCGGTGATCGGTTCTTCGGGATATATTTCTGGCACATTGCCAATTCAGCTTACTAATCCGTTGTTCTATGTCGTTGACTCCGGTTCTACTGCGGATATCCTCATTTCTAAGTTTATCATGCAGAGAAACCCCGAGCATAACCATCTCCGTGGCTCGCTGAGTTACTTTGAGCGTCCTCATACGGTCAGCACTGAAGGACTACGTCTCAGTTCCGTAGGTCATCACTGGAAAACGCACTGGTTGTACAGTCTCGTTTTCAGGTTTTGAGGTGTACCTGATGAGAATACGTCGTAATTTCCCGAAGCTGCCCAGCCGAGTTGAATCCGTCGAGTGACCTCTCAGCTGAAGTTGGACTTATCTAGTGAGACTATTTGTCCCAGGTAAATACTCGTCAACAACTTCGAGCTTAGTGCTCCCAAACAACTAACGTCACAGGTGTGATATGGACGTTACACATGATCTTTGTTTTGTCCATGTTCATTTTAAGACCCATCCATTGGGAGACATTATTGAGGTTACTGAGCATAGTGCTTAGGTCCTCTAGCGATTCTGCCATAAGGACTATATCGTCGGCAAATCGAAGATGTGAGTGTGAGTGATATACTCACCATTAATGTTAATACCGTATCCTTTCCAGCCCGGTAGCTTGAAAACGTCTTCCAATGCAGCGGTGAAGAAAAGACATATCGGTGTTACTAAATTAATTAATTTTGTCTTCCAAAATAATAAATAATAAAAAATCCCTTCATAGTTCTAAATTCAAATTAGTTTATATTTGTATGTAACATGAGGTTTATATTATAAGGAGTAATAGTAAATATAATAATAAAAAATAGAAGTTTAAAATTTGTTTCGTTGGGCAACACTGAATCAAAGTGAAAAATTATTTAAGAAATACGTCCGCCGGATTGTGCATGTGCTCATTATTGTTATTTCGTATTTTTGAGTGTTTTATCGTAATTGCTTTTGTATAGCACAAAACATAGGGCTCATGAATGTGCTTTAACGTAAATATTGTAATTGGTGCAGTGACAAATATGATAAAAGACTTATAAAATAATATGTTAATTTCAACCAAATCAAATATTTATGATGGTTTGTAGTAAGTTACTTTCTACATTATGTGTAGATAACATGAAATTTTATAACATTTCACGTTTTAGAAATCGACAAAATACTTATAAAACATATGAAAGGAGTAGTATAGAGGTTATCTATAGTTATGTATAGTTGAAGTAGTAGTTAATAATAATAATAAATACGAAAAGCATCATTATACTGTACCCTGAGGATGTAATAGGATTTTTTGGTGTAATTTATCCAAAGTTGTCCGGTGTAAAAGCTAATACAATAGGCTTTAAACAGAGTAATCTTAACATTCTCAGAACACGAGGCAAAGCGACGCGCCAGCATGTTACAACGTATAGATAGAGCTCTACGTTCACGCTCAATATCCAAGTCGTCACTCAGGTTCTCCGAAAACATATGATGCAAGTACCTGAAATTCTTCACAGTCCGAACCTGCACACCATTTATGCTTACTGGCGGTACTCTCCCCGGACCCTTTCCAGCACGAAAGACTAGCATTTCAGTCTTAGACACATTATTTTAATCCATGCTGACGAGCATAATTTTCGCAGATGAATGTAAGCTTTCTAAGACCGTTGATCGAAGGGCTAAGGAGAACCATATCGTCTGCGTAGCTAAGTTTGTTAAACGCTACACCATTAATGTGACATCCAATTTTGGTACTCCTAAGCTCCAAGCTCCTCGATCAAGCCTTTAACATAAAGATTGAAAAGGTCCGGAGAGGTCAGCCCTCCCTGACGTACCCCACATTCTAGTTTATAGCCACTAGAAGTTGTCGTCCCACCTAACTTTATTTGTCTGGTTCTCGTACCAGTATCTCAGCAAACCCAGAACAGTGCCAGGTACATTGGACTCATGCATTTTCCTCCATAATATATTATAATTAACAAGGTCAAATGCACGAATCAAGTCCAGAAAGCAAACGTAAACAGATGTACTACGCCTTTATAATAGTTTACAACGTGCTTAACGGACAGTATTGCAGAGTCGGCAGAAACACCGGCACGAAAACCAAACTGAGCATCACTTATCCTAATATTTTTCACAAGTTCGGGCTGTAGAAAACTTTCAAGCACTTTACCTACTATTGTGGCCATAGAGATAGGGCGGTAATTGGAGATATTAGAGAGGTCACCGGTTTTGTTCTTAACGACAGGTACAACAATCATCTGTAACATTTTATCAGGCAGATATGTATGTTTAATACATAGGTTAAAAAGTAATGCTAGAGAATCAAATAGCTTATCACTGGCATAGAGAAGGTGCTCAACACTCAAGCCATCGCGACCCGGAAACTTTCCTCGCTTCATATTATGAACTACTTTTATGATATCACTAGCACATAAGGACAAAACCTCAGCATTGGAGATTGTCGACTAAGCATGGGGAATACTCTCCACGTGCATTGGTTTAATTGAAAAATAATTAGCAAACATGTTAGCTATCCACTTGAACGTCCAAGCGACGCGGCGACAATACCTTTGAACGTCCCGACCCGGTCGTTGATGTTTTTATACGGTCGAAACGCGACCAGTTCGACTAAAACGGTTACCATGGAGAAAGTTCTTTACCTATATCAGAATAAAAATCACCCACAAAAAGCTAATGAAATGCAGAATTTAATTATGATAATAATAGTTCAGAACCTCTTCTGTCGTCGAGCTGCGAACGCACCCTGGTACGTCCGTAATGCCGACCTTCATCGGGACTTAGAGCTCCCAACAATTCAACAATTTTTTAAAAAACTCTCTGAGAACTTCTTCAAAGCCTCAGAGTCGCACCCAAACCATTTAATTCGTGAGGCAGCTTCTTATGCAGCCCCACCCCCCTCTCGCTATCGTGTCCGCAGGCCGAGAAACTCTCTCTCGGACCCGCCTAATAAACTTTCAAACGACCTGAACTGTCTCCTGGCGGCTCAGGCCAACTCTAATTAAATAAAATTATTGTAATAACCAACATTAATTTGCCTTCGTAGGCACTCCCTCAGCGGCACTTAGCCGCCTGCGCCCTCTTTTCCCAAAAGAGGGTCGCTCATGATAAGGCACAATAGAGCTTAATCAGCCGGTTGCCTGTCCCCAAAGGCGGTTTTTAGAGGGTATCACTTAGGGTCCCCGGTAGGACAGTGAGCCCCTCATAACCACGATAGACCGGCTATCGTGGTATGCGTAATGCATTTTCCGCCTCCCTACGTATAGGGTAGCCCTTTAAATGCTTCGGGCGCAAAAAAAAAAAAACGGCCGCTTTAAGGTCCGTTTGCACGATTATTTGAGCACGGGTATATATAAAATATAATTAAAAAAATATGTTTACACAAATTTTATTTTTCTTAAATATAAATATTAAAATATGTAAATGAAACACTCATTTTTTTCTTTCTTATTTAAAAAAAATAGTTTAAAAATATATGTATAAAAAATTAATTAGTTTAAATATATATATATATATATATATATATATATATATATATATATATATATGTATAGAGAGAGAGAGAGAGAGAGAGAGAGATCTTTACGGTAAATGTTGATCAGAAGCGACTTCACGCGAGCACTTTGTTGGTCCGAAAACTCATGTTGATCCGATTTAAATGAGCCAATCAGAGCACAGCAAACGATAAGATAAACGATTGGATTGGCTGAAAGCAGCCGCGACGTTGCCGTTTCGTATCTGTGCTGTTGGGTCTGCCTCGTTATTGTAATGCGCCGAGTATGTTCGCGGATGCGCGTGTGAATTGTTTCTACACCACCATGCGTAAACGGTGCACATCCCTGGTGCGCAGGGTGCGGACCAGTTCCATCCTAATGGTATCCTGAGGGCATTTTCTGACAGGTTTGAGGTCAGTACCTGAATCATTGTCCTATGGTGCATGTGCTGACTAATCGGGCCTGTCTTAGATATAGTTTTAAAATTAGGTAAGTAGTTTTAAGTTTTACTAACATTACTTTTAAGATTTGTATTATTACTAACATCTATGATCTTTGTGGTCGAAATAAACGACTTTTTTAACGTATAACTCAACAACTCGACAACGCCCCTTCTTGTAGCGAAAGTGGTGGCAACGGCGACGTAAGGTATTCGTCTGAGTGCGTGTTTGTGTGTATGTGTGTGTGTGTGTGTGTGTGTGTGTGTGTGTGTGTGTGTGTGTGTGTGTGTGTGTGTGTGTGTGTGTATGCGTGCGTGCGTGCGCGGGCAA